ATTCTTGATATATAAATTGCTTTTCTTTATATAAATGGTTAAGTCCTGGAATCTACAATAATACTCTCAAGAATTTAGTCCATAGGCTAAATCTGTCTTCTCGAGAATCACTCACTCTGTAACAATGCATCATAATTCAGGGTAGGTAAGTAAGCAGAGAACAAACAAAAGCCAGGGGCACAGGAAATTTATCTTTCCTCTTCTTTATTCTCATTTCTTACTGTCTTTCACATTTGTGTCCTATAGTGTTCAGAGTTGCTGATGAGGCACTAGGCAATGGCAGCCAGCTGCATGGGCGCCCCATAACTGCTCAGGGCTTGAGAGTTTACTTTAAATTAGGATTGCACTGGTAAGAAGTAGAGATAATTTCTGTTAAAGTTTGCACGGAAGCACTTTCTTAGGGTGAGGTGATTGCTGGGGCTGGCAGGTTACTCACAGATTTCCCGGGTGGCCTCTTGTATTCCCCTCATCCTGGGGTCTGGCCTGCAGCCGTTCAGGCTGTCTAAAGGATAGGGTTAATGGACCCACCTTTTAGGCCCATCCAGAGTGACAGTTCAATCTTTGAAAACCTAGCATCTGAGGGGCCATTATTGCCACTTGGTGTGACCTTTCCTCCACCCTACATTCTCTTCTCCCCACCCTTGTCGCTTCTATCAGTGGAAAGCCAAATTAATATTGCAAAATTTACTTAGAACTAATGACTTGAGGTGATCTCAAGAGGTGTTCCCCATCCAGGCAACCTGAGGCCCCATTCCCTGCTTAGCCATAGCCCTGCTGGGAGGACCAAATACTCAGCAGTTCTTACATGGGCACTGCCAGTGCTGGTCTCTGTGACTCTCCTTTAACTGTGTTTCCCCAGCAGACTATTCTTCTCATCTTCTTTCTGATCAACATACACTTTCTTTGCATGTGTTAATTAGTTGAGTTTCTGAGGGGATTTGTGGCTTAGAAGCCATTTTGTCTTTGCCTTTACACATTTCTGTCCAGAAGCTTCTGTTATAGCCAAGATATTTCAATGTCCCTTACTGTTGATTGGCAATACTTGAGAAAGGGCTGGGAGAGTAAAATTATATCGTTTAAAAATGGTAGAATCTTGGATGCTGAAGAGGCAGCTATAAAGTAATCCTCTGATTTTGAACTGCACTGTCAATGTTTTTTTGTATGTTTAAATTTTTGTTTAATTTTACTTTTAAGTTCTGGGGTACATGTGCAGATCTTGCAGGATTGTTACATAGGTATACACATGCGATGCTGGTTTGCTGCCTCCATCCCCTCATCACCTACATTAGGTATTTCTCCTAATGTTATTCCTCCCCAATCTCCCAACTCCCTGCTATCCCTCCCCTAGCTCCATACCTCTCAACAGACCCCAGTGTGTGATGTCCCACTCCCTGTATCCATGTGTTCTCATTGTTCAACATCAACTTATGAGTAAGAACATGCAGTGTTTAGTTTTCTGTTCTTGTGTCAGTTTGCTGAGAATGATGCTTTCCAGACTCGTCCATGTCCCTGCAAGGGCATGAACTCATCCTTTTTTATGGCTGCATAGTATTCCATGGTGTATATGTACCACATTTTCTCTATCCAGTTTATCGTTGATGGGCATTTGGGTTGGTTTCAAGTCTTTGCTATTGTAAACAGTGCCACAATGAATATACATGTATATGTGTCTTTATAATAGAATGATTTATAATCCTTTGGGTATATACCCAGTAATGAGATTACTGGGTCAAATGATATTTCTATTTCTAGATCCTTGAGGAATCGCCACACTGTCTTTTACAGTGGTTGAACCAATTTACACTCCCAAGAACAGTGTAAAAGCATTCCTATTTCTCCACATCCTCTCCAGCATCTGTTTTCTCCTGATTTTTTAATGATCACCATTCTAATTAGTGTGAAATGGTATCTCAATGTGGTTTTTATTTGCATTTCTCTAATGACCATGCACTGTCAATTTTTTATCCAAAAAGAGACTGTTGTTTCCTTCCACTTTTGATTTTAGGAGACTTACTCTGTTGATACAGCTACTACTCAAAGTGCCTTTTGAAATCCTCTGTTAGAATTGCCTTGAGAGCCTTCATTATCACCTTTATGCCACTAATCACTTTATTGGGGCTTTTTCTACTTATGAAATTAATATATACATCAGTGTTCAACGGGGGAATGAGAGCAGCAACACAGAAGGGTATAAAAAAGAAAGTCAGGTCTCCATGATCCTTCCACTTAGAAGTAACTGTTAACCTTTTGGTATAAATCCTTCCAAATTTTTTTTTATGCATAGTCATACACTTTTGAATATCTACTTACAGCAAATTTGAATATTTGCAATATTATAGGACTAATATGTATAATTGCATATATTACAACGAAAAAATTACAACTAAAAATAATGTAATTAGAACTAAAAAGAATCAAATATTTCTCGAGAATAATATATAGGCAAGTCACTGAAAAAAAAATACCAAAAAAAAAAAAAAAGAAAGAAATGAGACAATACTTAACCTTATTAGAAGTCAGGAATATACACATTAAAATAGCAATGAGGTCCTCTTTATATGGTTTGGCCAACCATAAGGTTGGCCAAAATTAAAACTTGAGAATGTCTAAGTCCAAATAGATCACAAAACAAATATTATACAATCATATAATTCTGGCGGGAATGTAAATTTGTACAGTGTTTCCAGAGGGGCAATTTGACAGTACTAATTATTATCATTTTTTTTTTTTTTTTTGAGATGGAGTTTTACTCTTGTTGCCCAGGCTGGAGTACATGGCGGAATCTTGGCTCACTGAAACCGCCGCCTCCTGGGTTCAAGCAGTTCTCCTGCCTCAGCTTCCCAAGTAGCTGGGATTACAGGCATGCTAATTTTTTGTATTTAGTATAGACAGGGTTTCACCATGTTGGTCAGGCTGGTCTTGAACTCCTGACCTCCACCCACTTTGGCCTCCCAAAGTGCAGGGATTACAGGTGTGAGCCACCGTGCCCAGCTGACAGTTCTAATCTTTAAAATATACCTTCCCTTTGAAAATTGCAAATTTTGGCTGACCATGCTAGCTCACACTTGTAATCCAAGCACTTTGGGAGCCCAGGCAGTAGGATTGCTGGAGGCCCAGAATTCAAGACCAGCCTAAACAACATAGCAAGACCCTGTCTCTATTAAAAAAAAAAAAAAAAAAGAATGAAAGAAAGAAAATAGTAAATCTCCATCTAACAGTCTATCCTACAGAAATGCTCATATATACAAATATTTGTACAAGAATGTTTAATTCAACTTTATTTGCAATAGCCAAAACTTGAGAAGGTGTGTCTTTCTAATCATCAACAGGAGAAGGGCAAGTTATAATAATAATGTAGTGCCATTTACTTGAAAGTAACTCTCTAGCTATCTCTAAGTAAATTCATATTTTAAAATCTAGAAAAAGCCTTACCAGCTCTTATGATCATTATTCATGGAAAGGGGTATAGGCTGGGGAGAAGGTGTTATAAAGGGGGACTTCTTTCTACTCCATACTCTACTGAATTATTTGGGTTTTTCAATAAGCCTGTATTTTTCATGTATTACTTTGTAATTTGGAATAAATATGACTTTGGAACATGGCCAAAAGCTATTTGGAGCCACACCTAGCAAATAAGATAGGTGATATCATTTCTCTGAGGGTGTGCCAGTAGTTGGTCACAGTTGACTCTTGGTTTTACAAAGAACCTCTCAAACAGTTCATAATCTTCATACAACTGAGCCTAGGAGCCCCTTGACTTAGGATAGCCTCTGAATGGATAGACTCCTGGTGCCAAAAACGTAGATCTCCATTACCTTCCTATTGAGGGCACTTGAGGCTCCTTCAGTCTGGATATTTTATTACATACTTTGACATGGTTTTTTAATCTTTTTAAAGAAACCATTCCTCAGAAAACATGTTATTTTATGCAGTTCTTGGAAATATCAGAATAAATGTCAAAGCATCACTGTTTCTGTTCATCATTCAAATGTACAGCAGATCTTCAGGCAAATTTTCCTCATGTTCAGGTTTTCTGAATGAATGAATCTGCTTGTAGATCTCCATTTAACTCTTCAGTCCTCATTCTCACAATTAATCATAGGTTGAGTGATCTTAACTTTGGTTTTTGCCACATTGTTTGTTCTTCAGTTGATGGATTATCTGGAGGAGTTGTAAAAAGGACCAGTCCAATGGGTGATGCCTCATGTATGTTTAGGTATTTCATAGGTCACATACTTCATCACCCATTTGAAACAGTCCTGAATGGAATGGCTTATGAGGGATGGAGGAACATGTAACACCACGCTGTGGACTGAATTGCGTTCCTACCAAAATTCCTGTGTTGAAGTCCTGGCTCCTAATGTGTCTGTATTTGGAGATAGGAAAAGGAAATAATTATGGTTAAATGATTCTTTGGGGATGTGAGGATTCTTTAGTCTAATAATAAAAACTGGGCACCACTCTGTGCCAGGCATCATGCTAGACTCTATGCATTACTTCACATTCTCAGAACAACCCTGCAGGATAGGTTTTTGCCTGTTTGACAGAGGAGGTAACTATGGTTACATGACCTGCCCAGGGGCCTACAGCTGGTAAGTTGGCAGACCCAGGATTGATTTTAGGTTGGTCGATCTGCCTGTCTGTCTGCCTCTAACACTCATGTACTTTCTACTGCACTCACCACCCTGCCTCTTGATTTGGTGACAGTCTGCCTAGCCTTCACTCTCTCTTATTTGACATTCCAGCACTGACTTTCCTTGTCACTTGTCATGATACAAGCGTCTATAATTGCTTCTTTTCTGTAGATCTTCAGAAGCTGCCAGATCTTGAAAAGGCCTTACTTACTTTGTACAGTACACTGCAGTCTCATTTAAATGAAATAATCTGTGCATACCCTGAGAACAGTGCCTGGCACCTGTAAGCACTTAGTATGTGTTAGCTCTCATTAGTACATCCTTATATATCTGATTGTTCACTTAACTACTTTATGGATCATTCAGGGTACCAGGTAGCATAAACCAGGAGCTGTATCACCCACCATTAAGCAGAGTGGATATTGTCTTGGCTCTGTACATTAGTAAAGCGGACACATGTCTCACCATGATGCAACTCCAGCTTCTTTCTGCCAGGGTAAGCAGCAGGACCACATGGTGATATGATTTGGCTTTGTGTACCCACCCAAATCTCATCTCAAATTGTAATTCCCAGGTGTCGAGGGAGGGAGCTGATGGGAGGTGATTGGATCATGGGGGCATTTTTCCCCATGCTATTCTTGTGATAGCAAGTGAGTTCTCACAAGATCTGATGGTTTTATAAGTGGCTCTTCTTCCTTCCCTTCACATGCTCTATCTCACCTGCTGCCATGTAAGATGTACCTACTTCCCCTTCCACTATGATGGTAAGTTTCCTGAAGCCTCCCCAGCCATGCAGAACTGTGAGTCAGTTAAACCTCCTTTCTTTATAAATTACCCAGTCTCGAGTATTTCTTTATAGCAGTATGAAAATGGACTAATATGCATGGATGGTGATGTTGCAGGATCATGCCCATACCAGACAGCAAAGGTTCTGGAACAACTCATGTTCATTCATTTTCTTTATTGCGTGGTCAAACCTGGAGGAGAGGTGTACCGCTCTTATAGACTATAACCAAATCGCTTTTTCATTAAATTTCTTTAAATAGGAACTAAACTATAAACTAAACTGCTAAATGATAAAGGCTAGTGAAAAAGTGATTCTTTTTTAACATTCACAAACTAGCTTTTTAGTTGAGGCAAACTCCTGCCCATCCTTAAGTTCTATCTCAGAGAGTTTTCTTTGGGCAACCCCAGTGCTTAATACAATGCTTGGCATATAAAAACAGGCCCTCTGCAATTACTGAAAGAGTTCTACTTCCTCCTGGGAAGGTAACTAGTTTGAGTGTTAAGAGTCACTTACTCTCCATGAGCCTTAGTTTTCTCAGGGGACTAGGGTGTCAACTGGATTTCTTACATTCCTTAAGTTCTACATTTAAGATGCCCAGGGGAACAATAAATCTTAGCTATAATGCTCCCTATAAATGATTTGAAAACAGAACAATTACCCAGTTTTCCATTTTAAAACATATTCCTAGACTGTTTTACCTACAGTCATACAAAGGCCAGGCCAAATAACCTAAGTTACAGAGAATGCATGACATCTCTGAAATCAGCATCATAGAATAAGGAAAACCCAAATGAGGTTCCGAAACAGCCCTCTTAACCTTAGAAACGATATCAGTCAAACCCTGCAGACTGGTGGCTAGAAAAAATGAAGGAAGACAAAAAGAAGTTCACTGACTATAAAGAAAGGACAGAGGCCAAGGTAATTGCAGAAGAGATGGATAGACAAGGCACAAGACATCTGTCGTGCCCAGGGGGCCATATTAGCTCCATTACATTACTTCCACATCAACAGATCATCTCATTTATTAGCTAATCAGGCAGAATTCAATATTTTAAATTATCTTTCTTAATCCTGCATGTGACCAGTTGAATTCCCAGGGCTCTAGAAATTTAATTGTAACTGCTTACCAGAAATGTTATCCGCACTTTGAAGAATTGAACCAGGGCCAAATGTAAGGCTGTTTTTTCCATTTTCCCAAGGTACTGTCCCATAGTCAGACCTGGACATGTGTGTACTTGTACCTACCACCTGACAGCTCAGGGGCTTCCTGAGGGGATCTGGGCCCCTGGCCCTGCTTCAGAACTTAAATACGGCCAGAGACTGAAAGAGGAATATGGTAGCAGAGAAGAGGAGCATGGAAGTAGATGTAGAGTACAGAAAAGGAACCATTGTTTCAGCCTTGGAAAAAGTCAAGAGAGAAGGATCTAAATCTAGATTCAGAATGTTCTAGGGGCCTAGACATGAAATAGTCCCTCTGCCCAGTAAGAGGGGATTGTATAAGGTTATGGGAGCTTGCTTATTCATCTACATTAGGATTTTGCTTCCTCTTAGCTTCCTACACCTAAGTCCCACCTCTCCATCCTCCTTAAGCTTCTAAAACATTGGTGTGATAACATGGCGGTGAGCCTGTGATCTCCTCCTCACCCATCTTCCTAGGATGCTGTAATGGTGTTCTCAGGAGCAAACCTGTCAGGACATCACAATAGATAGTTTCTAAGTGGTTTCCATTGAGTGACAATTTTTCTAGGGTAGACCTGAAATTATGAGGAGGTGAAAAAAACCACCTAGAGCCAGGCACGATAGTGCACACCTGTAATCCCAGCACTTTGGGAGACAGAGACAGGCAGATTGAGCTCAGGAGTGCAAGACCAGCCTGGGCAACAATGTGAAACCCCATCTCGACAAAAAAAGCCAGCATGGTAGCGCATGTCTGTAGTCCCCACTACTTGGGAGGCTAAGGCAAGAGGATCACTTGAGCCTGGGAGACCAAGGCTGCAGTGAGCTGAGATAGTGACATTGTACTCCAGCCTGGGCAACAGAGTGAGACCCTGTCTCAAAACAAAGACAAAAATGCCTAGAGCCAAACTATAGAGCCCATGGCAATGGGATCCATGCCCACTGCCCTCAGTGCCCAGTGCTGCTGATGGGAGTTGGACAAGGAAGTAGAAAAAGAGATGTGTGGTTCATAGCTTGCTGAACTCTGCCCTTTATATAAAAGTGTGTGCATGTGTGTGTGTTGTAGGCTAATGATGTGTATATTTTGCATATCTATGTTGATGGCATGTACTGTGAATAAACTATTGTGTGAATGCCATGTGTTTATGTGTACATGTGTGTGTGAGCAGAATGTACTGCAGTGGGACAGTTTAAAGCAGCTATAAAGCAATTCATTCTTGCTTTCCCCTTCCTATTTCAATTCCTTTAAGAACAAATACAGAAGTATTCTATACTGTGGTACAACCCCTGAAAAAGCTATGGATTTGGAGACCAAAGAGATCCAGAGGTTAGGTGAAGTACATCTCCCCTAAGAGATGCTCTAAAAACTGAAAATGTTATATTATTTTCTTTCTCTGGTCAAACAGCTAGAGGGAGCATGGCATATTTTTGCTGTTTCAAATAGTTCTATTTGGAAAGAGCTGAGTACAAGTGAGAGTGGGAAAGGATGAGGTGGAGAGGTGGCAGGGTTGAGTTGTAAAGGGTTTCCTTTGCCACTTCTGGGAATTCACACTTCTGAGGGAAATGGGGAGCTACTGAAGAATTTAAGCAGGGGATGCATTTGATCAGATTTATACTTTATAGAAAGATTAATGTGGCTGCTGTGTGAATAATAAATTGGAGTTTACAAGACTGGAGTCAGGGAGAACAGTCCAGAGACTGGGTGAGAGACGGTGGCAGCCTAGACTAGGGAAGTGGAAATGGGGATGCTGAGAAGTAGGTTTGGGAGCTCATGGGAATTCAGATGACATAAAGATAGTTCATTTCCTTAAAAACAGTGGGGCAGGGGGGAGATATCGAAGATGGTTATTTCATAGTTGAAACAAACAGATCATTCTGTCAGTCTGAGTGGTTTTCAGCATTTTTTTTTTACTCTGACTCACGTAAAGGCTAAAACCTACTCCCACTAGAAAGCGTTCATGCCATCAGTGATTCTCTGCCGATAGCATGGAAAGGTGCCTATATAACTTACAAAAAATAAAATTAAAATCTCAGGTGATCCCTAAATGCCCTTCAGTCTCGCATGCCTGCCATCTAGGGAATCACTTATCTGTGTAACAGGCAAGCATTTGGAGCAGAAATCGATTCTTCATTTAAAGTAACTGACATTTGAAGGTAACTCTTTGGCAACATAATGCTAGTTCAGATATCTTGCCCTACCACCTGTGCCTTAGACACTAGCTCATTCCTGGTAGAAACACAGCCTTCATGTAACTATGCATCCTTCCCTGATAAAGTGACAAATCAGCCAGTATATGACGAATTTGGGTTGTGTAGACAAATACACCAGGTGCACCAGCCAAGACATACACAGTTTGTTGTGAATCATCCACACCAGCTTTCAGTGCAGTTAGATTTTAGAACAATTGCTCAGTTCCTTCCTTCATTTTCACAGTGTAGACCTGGCTCAAGACCCAAGAGTGAAGCAGCAAGTGTGAAGAACCAGAAACATTATAAATAACCAAGAGAATCCTCTTATAACAGCAACTGCCTACTGATTTTGTGGCCTAACAGCTCAAGCAAAAACGAATATAAATACAGTATTGTGCAATGACTAGTTACTCAAAATTTTGTGCATCAGCAGAAGTGGAACCTGTGGTTGGTGCTAATATTATCAAATGCCTTTGCTGTTTAATAATCTGGTAGCTGTATATTATTTAGCATGCAATTTTCATGGAGAACAATGATTTAATTTCAAGTACGTCTCACTGAAATGAAAAAACAGCTGTTAGAAGATGAACATTTCACAGAAAATATTTTAGTGAATCTTTTGTAAGATACTAAGTCCTGTTGGATTAACTGTTTTCTGTCCAGAATAATAGAGTCACAAAGAAAACGGATTGCTGACCACAAAAGGCAAGGCCAGTCTTTAGAACTCGTGAATCACTAACAGACATTTTAGTTTTAATTGCCATTTATTCACCAATATATATATACAAAGCTTTCATTAATACTGCCTGAAGAATGGGCCCTTTTTAATTCCATTTTTAGCTCGCACTCAGGATTCCACTTCTCTTTCATTAATGTGGAATTCTTTAAATTATAGAATAAATTAATCCACTGCAGACATTTTGGGCAGAATGGGGTTTTCAGCAACTGTTCAGCCTCCACAGGCCCTTCTTCTCAGCAGCTCATCAGCCAGCAGAGCAGTGAGGGCCCCATCTGGGAGCGGCACCTTTCCCTGAACTTGAAGAAAGTCTAGAGCAGCCCACTGGGCTCCTGGTCTGAACCCACTCTCAGGGTGACAGTGTCCTTCACATGTTCCTCAGGCTGGCCAACCTCTGGCCAAGCAAGGGGTATGCCAGTGGGTAAGCTACATCACGATATGGCTGCTGGGCACAGCCAGTTTTCAGCCAAAGAACATGATGGTTGAGCTATGTTAATGTAGCCATATTGACTCAGGGACAATTTTTACATTATTATCAGAAAAACGTAAAATGTTCTTTTTTAAATTATCAAGAAATGTGAAAAAAACAAAGAACTTCATCTTATCTCCAGTTCCCATTCCTGGGGTGAAGTGGGTGATAGATAAAGATTAAAAATGGAAGAGTTTTCAGAGATGGCTGAAGATTGCCTATAGGGTGAGGCTCAGGCTTGGTCTGAGGGTGGAATGAGGTCTAGAAAAGGGAAAGGATCAGGCATGTCTGTTCCGTATATTATTTGGTAATACAAGAGTGTATATCTACATTTTCTACATGGTAATTTTGATGCAAATTTTATCTTAAAACAGCTTCATCAAAATGCCCCACTTCAGTCCTAGCCTGAGTAGCCAGCCCAGAGCCCATCACAAACTAACAAAGTTGAGAATGGACCCTGAGACACGGTCAGGCCCCAGATGGAGCCAGCCAGTGTCCTCTGTCAATATGAACGGATCGCTGACTTGGATTGGGAGCCATTTGTCACCAGTAGTAGGGCCAGATCTCTCCATGGCACCAAATGAGGTAGGTTGAGCACCACAACCAAGCACCTCAACCTGTGTGAAGGCCGAGATGGCCAAGACACACTGTCTCAGGCAGGGGATTTCTTTTGTCTTTGACTCAATTTTAGATGGAATCCAAGTAATGCAGTTATGATCATCTGTACTCATTCTTACAAATGGTTACTAAATACTTGCAGGGTACCAATAAAAGAAGAATATGGCAGTCCTGGGATGAAGGTTAATAGAGTTTTTCTTGTTCTGTAGTAGTTGAAATGTAATCAGTGTATTGAAAATCGAAAGATCAGTATCATTTGTAATATCACTTACAGTCGCTTTGGGCAGTGAAGTGCTGCCCTGAGCGTATCTTAGCCCCACCTTACTTTGATTTTGCATTCAACCCCTTATTGATCCTTCTCTGTTCTCACCTATCTTAATGAAAGAAGGCTTTAGCCTCATAAACCTCATTCCAGATAGAAATGCATAATTCAAGAGAAACACTGATGTCAAAGAAGAACGGGCATGCCAATTTGTGTCAGCATTTGCTGTAAATTAAAGAGGAGTACAAGGAGAGTTTAATGTAATGTAGAATTGGAATTAAAATAGAACCAATATTTAGGCAGTCCTCCACCTCTTTCTTCCCTGCTGTGACATGAAGGATTGACTTTCTCCCAGCTTAAGTACCTAAGGTAGTTCATTTTTTTTTCTTTTCTGCTGGGATCCCCCCATAAAACACTCCATACTTATTTCTGGCATCCAAAATTATATCTTTTCACTTTTTCCATTCCAATCACAACCAAAAGTCACGGTAGAAAGAGTTGGAGTTTCCCCCCTCATTTTCTACACCTTTGCAGCATAGAAAGGACCTCTGGTGGCCGGGCGCAGTGCCTCACTCCTGCAATCCCAGTACTTTGGGAGGCCGAGACAAAAGAATTGCTTGAGCCCAGGAGTTGCTGGAGACTAGCCTGGGCAACATAGACAGACCCTATCTCTACAAAAAAAAAAATAATAATAATAATAATAGCCAGGCATGGTGGCAAGTGCCTGTAGTCCCAGCTACTCAGGAGGCTGATTTGGGAGAATTGTTTGAGTCCAGGCAGGTCAAGGCTGCAGTGAGCCATGATTGCACCACTGCACTCCAGCCTGGGTGACAGAGCGAGACCCTGTCTCAAAAAAAGAAAAAAGGAAAAGAAAGACCTGCCATGCCAGTGTGATGAGCTCAGCTTTGTAGATAACTATTAATCCCCCTTTTTACAGTACTAATGTGGTTGTTACCTCCATGATTTCTTTTTTCCTAAGCTGGAGAATAAAAGGTTGATAGTGAACATCTCACAATGTAATTTTGTGCAAGATGTTCCCATACACTTGTGAGAATTCTTCAGCACACATCCAGGAGTGTTCTTCCTTTTAAAGTGGTCACATTGGGAAGCTTCACATTCAGACCACGTGCTGTTTTCAGAATCTTTTAGGAGCTCTTTTTATGAATTTCTGCCAGAGCTGATTTTGTTCTTTACAGTTGCCCATTGATTTTGGCCAATGGTGGAGTTCCCTAGCCTGACCCCTCACCTTAATCATTAGACTTGGCTTTAAACGATTCACTCTTTGCAGAAATAAAGTCCTTAGGATAATTGTTCTCAAAATATGACCCGAAAGCCAGCAGTATCAGAATCACCTGGGATGTCATTAGAAATACAAATCCTAGGCCCCCCTCAGATTTAATTGATTGGAAACTTTGGGGATGGAGCCCAGCAGTTGTGTTTTAACAAGCCCTCCAAGGCGATTGCAGTGCATGCTCAAGTTTAAGAACCACCAACTGAGATAAAATATACCTCCATTGAGGATATTCAAAGATATATTACAGATTTTGAAGGTACTGAAAGAGAAGTTTCAAAATATTTTTGAGCAAAGTTAGAATACATTTATGCCCTCCCCAGAGGACTACTTTAATGGGGTCTGGGCTTCAACCTAGGTGTTCCAGTTCTGTCACCTAGCCATTTGACCCTGAGCAAGTTCTTACACTTGGTTTCTCATCTGAAAAATCAAAGACCCACCCTACCTCCCTCACAGGATTGCAATGAAATTCAAATTTAATCACATCTGCAAACATGCCCTGTAAACCAGAAAGTGCTATGGAAAAGTGAAAGTCATGTCACTTTGCAGGCAGAATTCTGGTAGCCTGAGCATTATGTCAGGGAAATGAGTGGGGCAAAGGCTTATATTTATCATTTCCCTGGCCAGATACACTTTTTTGTCTATAAAATGGCCTTATGGATGTGTCTCAGATTCTGCCATTTCAGCCCCCCAATTCATCTGGTGTTAAGAGAGGAAAACCATTGCCTGCTTAGTAGCTACAAAAGGCTAGAAAAATATTAATATATCCATTTTCAGGTCGGGCCTGGTGACTCATGCTGTTAGTCCCAGCCCTTTGGGAGGCCAAGGCGGGCGAATCGCTTCAGCCCAGAAATTTGAGACCAGTCTGGGCAACATGGCGAAACCCTGACTCTACAAAAAAAGTACCAAAAAAATTAGCCACCTGCCTGTAGTCCCAGCTACTTGGGAGGCTGAGATAGGAGGATCGCTTGAGCCCAGGAGGTTGAGCCTACGGTGAGCTGAGATTGTGCCATTGCACTCCAGCCTGGGCAACAGAGTGAAACCCTGTCTCAAAAAAAAGAAAAATATATCCATTTTTTGGCAGGGCACGGTGGCTCACGCCTGTAATCCTAGCACTTTGCGAGGCTGATGTGGGCAGATTACTTGAGGTCAGGGGTTTGAGACTAGCCTGGCCTATATGGTGAAACCCCATCTCTATTAAAAATACAAAAATTAGCCACGCATGGTGGCACGCGCTTGTAATCCCAGCTACTTGGGAGGCTGAGGCAGGAGAATCACTTGAACCCAAAAGGCAGAGGTTGCAGTGAGCTGAGATCGTGCCACTGCACACCAGCCTGGGCAACAGAGTGAGACTCAGTCGCAAAAAAAAATAAATAAAAAGAAAAATATATCGCTTTTCAAACTTGCTGCTCCCTACAAGGACCCAGGAAAGCTCGGAAATGAGCCTTCGGGGCCAACTATGTTGTGTGGATACTGAAGCTCTCATGCCTGGAACATGGCACACACCAGCAGTGCAAGGGTCTGTCCTAAAACCATCACTTTATCCCTGTGCAGGGGTGTCTGGACCTTCAAAGAGGAAGCTCAGTGCTCATTGTCACACAATCACTGCAGAGACACTGAAAAGAAAAGCCCTCCAGAAAATCACATCTATGGAAACAAGATTTACAAACCAAAGCAGTTAATGCAAGTTTGTCCAACCCACAACCCAGGGGCTGCATGCAACCCAGAACAGCTTTGAATGCAGCCCAACAAAAATTTGTAAGCTTCCTTAAAACATTATGAGAATTTTTCTGGTTTTTTTTTTTAACCTCATCAGCTACTGTTAGTGTATTTTATGTGTGGCCCAAGAAAATTATTCCAGTGTGGCCCAGGGAAGCCAAAAGATTAGACACCCTTGAATGTACCTGTGTTCAAGAAGAATGTGGATGGATTTTTACCTTGGAGATTAGCCTTTACAAACAACTTCATCATAGGAATTCTTTTTTTTTTTTTTCTTTAAGACAAGATCTCACTCTGTCACCCAGGCTAGAATATACAGCTCACTGCAGCCTCAACTTTCTGGGCTCTAATAATCCTCCTACCTCAGCCTCCAGAGTACCTGGGACCACACACGTGCACCACCACGCCTGGCTAAGTTTCACATTTCTTTGTAGAGACAAGGTTTTGCCATCTTGCTCAGGCTGGTTTCAAACTCCTGAGCTCAAGCAATCTGCCTGCCTCGGCCTTCCAAAGTGCTGGGATGAGACCAGCACTGGTCTCAAGCCTGTAGGCTTGAGCCACTTTAACTAGTCAGGAATTCTTAAACAGCAAGCTCCTGGTATATTTATAATTTAATTTGAAAACTTTACAAACTCTTTAGTGAACACTTCTGGGCAGGAAGGAAGCTTAAACCTGTTGCCTCAGTGCTTACTGGGAATGAAGTTTCAGTAACACAGAAATTTGCCACCACCTGGCCAACACCAGCTTCATTCTTCACACAAAATGCCAGCTAAAATCAAGATTAGGTGTGAATATATTAATAATTGGTTAATTATGGTTATATTATTGGATAATTATGGAACAATAAGCTATTGGTTAACTATAGAATTAGAATATGAAGTGATTTTGCTCAAAAATGTGTCCCCACTTAAGGACTCTCTAGAGACAAAGTAGATAAGTGGTTCCTAGGTCCGGGGTGGTGGGGAGAAATGGGGAGTGGCTGTTAATGAGTATGAGGTTTCTTTCCGGGGATGAAAATTTCTAAAATTAGATTGTGGTGATGGTTGCTCAACTCTGTAACTACACTAAAGAACATTGAATTGTACACTTTAAATGGGTATATTATATGTATATTAATCGTATCTCAAAGCTGGTTTTTTTAATCCGGTAGCTAATGAATTATAGAGCCAAGAAAAAAAATTGTACCTACTCAAAAGATGGAAGCAAATGTAATATCAAAACTTTGCTGCATGCAGTTTCAGACTTGATTCAATAAAAGTGGTCATTTGAAATAGATTAAGCCAGAAAATACTTGGTGTTTTTTTTTTTTTTTTTTTTTTTTAGACAGAGTCTCGCTCCATCACCCAGGCTGGAGTGCAGTGGCACGATCTCAGCTTACTGCAACCTCCGCCTCCCAGATTCAAGTGATTCTCCTGCCTCAGCCTCCTGAGTAGCTGGGAGTACAAGTGCATGACACCACACCCCCACACCCAGCTAATTTTTGTACTTTTTTTGTGTGTGTGGAGACAGGATTTTGCCATGTCAGTCAGGCTGGTCTTGAACTTCTGACCTCAAGTGGTCTGCCCACCTTGGCTTCCCAAAGTGCTAGGGTTACAGGCATGAGTGGTCGCACCTGGCCCCTGCTCTGTCTTCTAATTGCAGAGTAATTAAAAAATGGATTATCTCAAACTAATAACTGAATTTTTTTTTGAGACAGAGTCTTGCTCTGTCACCCAAGATGGAGTGGCACAATCCAGCAGGGGCACGATCTTGTCTCACTGCAACTTCCACCTCCTGACTCAATCAATCCTCCCACCTCCACCTCGAAAGTAGGCAGGACTATAAGTGCATGCCACCACACCCAGCTAATTTTTTTATTTTTTGTAGAGACAGGGTCTCACCATGTTGCCCAGGCTGGTTTTAAACTCTT